TGTGTGTGTGCGTGTGTGTGCATGTGTGTGCGTGTGTGTGTGTGTGTGTGTGTGTGTGTGTAACCATTACAGAGGTGGCTCCCTAACACTAGCTGTGTTTGTCATTGTTAGAATGGTTTGGCATGCTATTATGGGTAAAAAAGTTTAAACTAAAGATAGATGCTGATTGGTCTCTTTCTGTACTTCTGTATGACATTAAATGTCATGCATACTTGAGGACTGTATATAGCGTTACTACTGGGCACACTGAGTACCATGGCTTTAGTGTTCGGGAAATTGGTGTTCTCTCTATCCTTTTCCTGAGCAAGAAATAACCCTTTTTCCACTGGAAAAAATATATAAAAGCAACAGTTGAAGCAAATTGAGCTGTTTCCATTAGAAAAAGTGAGGATGGGTCATCCTGTGTACGAGGACTGCACAGCAGGTATTTGCTTCAGCTGTTCTTCTCCTCTCCTCTTACTTTTCATTAGTTTTCATTTGATGTCAATTATGCAGTTTTTTTAGATTATATTTATATAATCTAAAAATATAATCTAAAATATATATATTTATATTTTAGATATACATTTATTTAAAAAAAAATCCCCTCTTGTCCCTGTTGTCCTTCAAGCTTGGGTCCTCTACCAGAGGTCTAGGAGCTTGAGGGTCCTGTGTGGTATCTTTGCTGTTCCTAGAACTGCGCTCTTCTGAACAGAGATCTTGGCTGCTATTCCTGGGATCTGCTGGAGCCACTCGCCTAGCTTGCGGGGTCACTGCACCGAGTGCTCTGATTACCACGGGGACCACTCGAGCTCTTTTCTGAGCCCTTGGTACTTCTCTAGCTTCTCCTATTCCTTCTTCCTGATGTTGCAGTCATTAGGTATCACTACATCTATCACTACAGCCATTTTCCTTTGCTTTTCCACTACTACTATTTCCGGTTGGTTAGCCGTCTGTATCTGGAAGTCCCAGGATCTTAGCTCGGTCATTCTCAACCATCGGATGTCTCCCATTTTGACCTCGGGACTTCCAGGCCATACTTGGCATAGATATTCTGCTGGCAATTTGGTTATGACGTTCCATCTATGCCCTGCCTGCGAGCATCATGCACTTATGCGCTGCTATGTGCTGAATTGTCTCAGCGGCATCTTTACACAGCATGCACCTGGGATCTTGCCTGGTGTGGTACACCCCTGCCTCTATGGAGCTTGTACTTGGTTGCGGCCATCTTCTTGATGTACTTGTGGATGTTCATTGTCTCCTCCTGGTCCGTGGTACTGATACTCACTAGCCCCCCAGCATCCTTCCTTCCACTTAGCTCATATCCGAGGTAGGCTTGGTTAGCATGGGGGGTCTAGCTCGGGGACCCTTACTGGATACAAACGCCCTGGTTGGGAGTCGAACTCACGACTCCTGTTTCAAAGGCGTGGAACAGTATATACTATTTTTATCTTTTTCTTTCTTTCTTATTATTTCTTTGTTTTTGTTTTTTAAATGTATCGCCACCAATTGGATCACATAGGCAAGCAAAGCATTTTTTGGCCATGGCAACTTTGGAAAATTCTAAAGGAAGATGCATATCACGTCTTAAATGTCACACTTCGCTGGCAGCCAGCCCCGAGGTTGTTGATTTCCAAGCTCCACGGGGCACTATGCCGCTGACCGCAGAGGTGTGGGTGGGATACAAGGTGGAAGGAGGAAAAAAGTGTTTCTTGCGTTTGCCAGCTGCTCCTTTAGCTCACACAGAAGAAACACACAAACATGCACATACATCAATCTCTTCTGTCACAGTTTCACTGCCTGTCACCATGGTGACACCCTAATGCTACAGCTGTCTGACAGAAGACTGACTGAACTTGCCGTGATTTGTGGATTTTGTGGTTTTGCATAGGCTTACACAAATACTCTCGCAACTTCAATTGGCAATCAGCTGAAAAAGGCAGAGTTTTTCTCCTCTTTAGGTCAATTGTTAATAACAATCACAGAATTCATCATCCACTTCCTCTGTGGATGCTGTGCAATGATTAAAATTTCATTCAAATATGAACACGTATTAAAACAGATGTTGTTTTCCTTCAGGAAATGTTTCACTCTTCTCTCCTCTTCTCTTCTCTTCTCTTCTCTTGCTCTATCAGACCCTTGCCCCAGGCATGTTTTTTTCTGAGTGACATTCACTGGTGGCACATATAAAGCAGGTTAATATTGATCTGGGCTGAGCAGGTGATGGGTTAAATCGATTACGTATGTGACAGCCCTATTTCCTAAACTTGTAAAGCTTACTAAAGAATGCCTCCAGTCAAACAGAAATAAACAAGATGAAAATGCACAATTTTGCAGTAGTATCAAAAAAATCTGTGCATTCAGTAGTGATGTGAGAGACTTCTTGAGATGGCAGAGACACTAAATGGCAGCTCTGAAATGCATGAACTAAATCATAGAGTCTTCCTTTATCAAAATGAAATGTCTAACTTTGATAATCCACAGTTGGAAACGTCAAAGAAAGATTTGATTGAGATGTTATATTCAGCACTTTATCTGGGTGGGTACTGTGACGCAGAAATAAAAAAAAAAAAGACTGATGATTCAAAACCAATCAAAAGGAGATTTAAATCATCCTTTGGAAAGAGTCTTAACAGCGACAATATGCCAGGCCATGTTTAATCATGACAGATCTTTAGAAACTGCGTGGGCGTGTGGGAGGGTGGGTGAGTGCAGGCAGAGAGACAGACTGGAAGACAACGTGCACTCATTTCATACATCGTAACATTTGGGCATTTTAGCATTTTTATTTTGTATAAAAAAACGTGGCACTATTCTTTTTTTTCTTTTTTTTTGGAAAAGCGACAACAGTCATAAAATGTGAAAGGGCAATAAGCAGCCTTTGTGAGCTTTTAAGGATGTCTGACCTGGGTATTTTTCAAATCACCATGAAACATCTAACAGAGCTTTTAGTAAAGCAGGTGCATTTTTAGAAAATGCATTCATTTATTTGAAAATTACCACTGTGTTTCTGCTGCTCCATCAAAACATGCTGGTAAAATAAGAATACCCTGACAAAAACAACAACAACAAAAAAAAAACTTTAAATAGTGTTTTATGTATTTTTGTCACATATAACATCTTTGGATACTTACATTTTTTCTCTATAGGATGAATAAAAATGTAAAATAGAATCTGAATTTAGGCCTTCTGTCCTGAGCTCTTCACACCAGTCATGATACTTTTTTTAAAATTACTTTTTTAAAAATTAATTCTATTAGATGACATTTCTTTTGAGAACATAGTGGAGTAGAACATAGTAGAATGAATGAAAAGTCAGGATTTTATAAGATGTCTCTGATAACACTACCAAGAAACCTTGACTCCAATAAAAAAAAGACTGTAAGCTTTAGAAAACGAATTTAATCATTTTCACAGCAGCTATTTCTCAGCATAAGCAGCTCCAAGCCAGTTTCTAGATGTGTAACAAAGACAAATACAATATAATTGCAATTACTAGTCAAGAAAAATCATAAAAAAGGTGTCTGGAAAATTCATTTCTTTAACTTTTATATATTTATATAATCAAAATGTTGGAATAATATAGACAAAAAGACTCATTGAGTTAATGTCTGCATACTTTGTCCTTTATAAATGCCAGAGTTACTAACAGAAAGAGTTGACAAGGAAGAGGTTTCAGCCCCTTAATCGCAGTAGAAGTCCATGTCCTGAAAGACAAGCAAAACATCAGGCTCTACTTCCTAACATGGAATGGGAAAAAAAAGTATTCATTCATTTAAAAAAAAATGTTGCATAAAAGAATTCAATGTACTAACAGTTGTTTGGATCTTAACTGTGTTTTCTGTAAACCTCTGTGTCTCCTTCACCACAGTTGCAGGGAAGTATCCAATGATGCCCATCTGGTCCACGTACCGCTCACTGTAAATCTGCCAGCAAAAATAATATAACTCCAGCAAATTAGCATGCACCACACTCTATATGTATTATGCATAACCTTTCTTACAAAACTTGACATAATGAAAAGCCTGCTCATTTCAGATACGGTGGACTCTGATATGCAACCAAATGTCTTTTCTTGTCAGAAAAGCCAGAAGGTTTGTGTTTGTTTACCACAGCTGTTGCACATCTTCTGTCTTTCACAACTCAAGTGTACAGTGCCATTAAACAGTGTACAAAATCTGCACATACGCTTCCAGACCAGAAGACTCCAGCGCCCTCTGCTGCAATGAGTTTGGAGTACACATAAACCACCTGACCCTTTCTGAGGTTGAGAAATCGGCAGTCAGGAGATATGAAGTCATCCAAGACTGTGGCCATGGAGAGAACATCTAATACAGCACGGGAAAAAATACAAAAGAAGAATGCGAAACATAAGCATCTACTGTTGATTTTGAAACGTGCTGCATCCTGCATGCTCTGCTATGCTTCTGTTTTTAATGCTCAGACTTACATGAGCACTCTGCATCTCCGCAAATCTTCTGGTCTGCTAGTTTATCCATATGGACAGCCCTCGTGGTCTGGTGGAGCAGTCCCACACACAACAGAATCACCAGTGGATAACCCATCCTCGCCAAAAGACCAAGAACAAGCGACTGTTGTGAGTGTGTGTACGTCCGCATGTGAATGCAGATGTTTGATGGAACTTAAGACTATAAAAATCACAAACACTTCTCTCAGCCAGGACAGAATGGGCTGAGCCCCTTCATCACACATCGACTAGCCAATCAGTGTCGAGTCTCAGAAATTCCACACTCTGTAAGTATTCATTTCCATCAGGGGAGTTGGCTGACTTTTCTCAATTCTCAGCCTCTTTGCAGAAAGAAAGTTTGCTGTAAACTGTAAGTGTTACACTCTATAAAAAAACACATTCGTAAGCAGTAAAGGCCTTTAAATGCTATTTCTTTACAGTCAACCAGCTTTAAGATTTATCAAATCGATTTAACCATAAACCATCTTCAATAAATATGCAAATAAAGTACTGTTCAAAAGTCTTATGCTACCACTCATCCCTTTTGCCTCCAAGAAGCCAGACTTTGTTGTAATTTTTTAAGTTGTCTTGAGGACTAGTTCTTTAGTTTTCTTTGTAGGCCTTTCAAAGGTTTTCTTTGAACACTGGCTGCTGACTCATTTTCTGTCCACTCTTTGCACCTGACTACTTTCACTGACCGACCTATGAATCACTGAAACAAAACATGTTTACTTAACTCATAGAATCAACCAGTGTTGAGTCTACACATAACAGACAACTTCGCAAATAATCTATTTTAAATTGTATCCTTTTAGCTGCCTGTTGCCAAAACACATCTATTGTTCCCATGTCTTTAACTGAATTCCAGAATAATGCACAAGATAACACAGTTTGACAGGTATAAAATAGTATTTTTGCACCAATAAGGCAATTCCAAAGGCGCTATTAGCTAAAATCTTGCTGTATCTCGGCAAAGTGTGCAGTGTGTCCATTAAAACATTTGAAATTGGACAAGTGGGGGACAAAACAAGAAGCAGCCTACAAACCTGTCTATAGCAAATGAAAATCATGCTCTTAATAAACAGAAAAAGATCCACCAGAGACTTGACACGGGAGCTTAGATGTATATCTGGGCCTTCAGTTGATCCATCTACTGTTCACTGAAGCTTAATCATCAATTATCTCAGTGGAAGTGTGGCTGCTTAAAAGGGAAGCATGCTTGCATGCTTAAGAAAGGGAAACAGTTAGAAAACGCTGAAGTATGCCATATTACACAAGATCATCATCAATATGTAAAAGGGAGGTCAGGTTAGACGTACAACAGTGAGTGCCTACAGCCCTCTGTGAAACACAGCAGCAGTTGTGTTAGTGTCTTCTTAAAATTGTTGCAAGTATGATTGTAGAAAAGTACTATCAGATCCACCATGCAATGCCATTTCTGTAGTGTGGGATTTGCAATTGCTTAATTTTGGCAACGATCCAAAACACACTGAAAATGCCTGGATACAAACACACACACACGCACTATCAGTCATGGATTGACCTACTGAAGCAGTGTGGGATCATTTTGATAGCGAAGAGAATGAAAGGCAGCCAACAACCAAAAGAAGAGCTTATAATGTCCTGGGGAACTATTCCAGAAGACTACTTAAAGAAACTGCAAGAAACCTTCCTAAGACAGAGCTCATCATCATGCTGAAGAATAAAGCGGCCATACAAATATTGACTTTCAAGCTGGTTAGACTTATAAAGTTTGTTTTTTTACCTTGCAAACTCTGTTTGCATTTATGTTTGCACACATTTCAATAAAAGCCTGCACCTAGTTCCCACTTTACTTGCAAAATATAAAGAAACAAAGGGTGACAAGACTTTTGCACAGCATTGTGATTCATATCGAGTTTGTAAAATGTTTAGCTTACACATCACTTCCTTTGGGTGTCGCTAAAGCGGCTGCAAAAAATATAGGTCAAACAAAATTACTAAATGTTGTGTAAAATTGGGTACCCGATTTTACATTGATTTTAACTGTCTGTGAAGCAGCTTATATCCAGACTTGAATTGAAAAACCTTGCGTATATGACGTGACGTGTAAAGAAATAAATCCCTTAATCTTAGCAGTACAAGATGACAAATCCACTAATTTAATATGTAAATACATAAATAAATACCTAAATGTAAATACCTTACAACGTTGAAGGTAAATGTGCTTGACGGTCATGAGGTTCTGGTTGAAATATAGTTCGATTGCAAATATAACAATGCCCAATCAAGTTTAATTTTTCAAATAGTAATCTATTTGAAAAGTTCAATGTTGTCCTTTCACCCACTGTGTTCTCGGGATCCCGAAGATTTTATATATAAGAGCTGTATTTTCAACACATCTTGTCTAACTTATGGTCAAGAAATCACACCATTTTACAATTCCCTCAGTTTCTTTTCGCTGCTTGCTGGATATCAATTCAACAAACCACTTTCAGTTTACCTGGCTAGATGATAATTGTTAGTAATTATAAGTCTTTCTTAGCAGCTGAAATAATGAAGTTGAATCTTCCCAGAAATACCATACTGATACAAAACCTGAGGTAATAAAGCCTCAAGGGCGTTGGCATGCAGGTCACATTCTTTATAATTAAACTGGTGACATATTTTAGATGTCATCAACTTTGTAAACAAGCTGGACATTACGCACTTATTTCCTTCATCTGATGCAAACCACTGAAAACCGAGTATGTTTACATCTAGATGTAGGCGGGTGGGGTTTAAACTGACATGCAATATGAGTAAATAGGAAAACAAAATGAACCTCTCCCTCGCGCTACGCAGTTATTTAAAACAAACGCACCATTGGCATTTGGCTGTGACGTAGGCATACTGTAAACTCAAAGCCGTAGTCTCGGCCGGTGCTGTTATTGTTCAGTTCGCGGAGTTTGGGGGGAGGGTATTGCTTTATTTTTTATTTTGGGGGCTGCACACTGCCATTATCGGGGTAATTACAACCACCCCAATGCCTGGCCCGAGGTATATATTATTTATATAGCGTCAGAATCTGTCTAAGTAGTTGTAAGCTAACAAGTTAGGTCCCAAAGTAGCCGATGGATGCGCGGGTATCGGAGTTATTTGGCTCAGGAAACGGACACAGCTCTGGATCTGGTGGTGTGTCCACCGGCAAGCCTGCGAATGGCTATGGGGTAGCCCCCAAAAAATCCTCTGCAAAGAACAAGAAAGCAAAAGCTCGATTATCCCGCAACTTCAAACCAAGCAATAACACCCCGTATCTACCTCCAGAGGTAAGGCTAAAAATACGCGCACAATTAGCTATTTCGAGTTAATATTTCCCGGGCACTGGAAAGCCTGTCACTAAGAGTAAGCAAATGGATTTTTGTCTGTTGTAACGCTACTCGTAGGTTTGTCATTGTATTTCCTGTTTTGAGGGTTAGCTTCCCCACTATTGACTTGTCTTTGAACCTGCAGTGACACGTAGCTAGTCGGTACAAAGAAAATGAATGGTACCATTTCAAGCGTAGAAGGTTTGCGTTTGTTGTTGGCTTACGACTTTCTATTTACAGTAGTTTTGCAGAAATAGGCCTAACGTATGTTAATTGAAAGTTTTTTGATTAAAAAAATGCAAGTATTTTGCTAGCTAGCAAAAGAAGATCAGCTGTGTTTGTAAATAGGGGGCGGGTGCATAGCTCAGCCAGCCGACCTCTAGATAGTGATACTGTGAGTGCCTGACATTCACTCAGCCAAGGACTGTGTTACTACACAAAACTTTTTTTTTTTTACATGTATTTATTTATTTATTTATTGTACAGTGACCTCCGTGTGTTGTCATTACCCACCAGCTGCGTTTTTTAAACGTGACACTTAATCCTAAACTGTTCTTTAACCTTTACTGATCATAAGCTGCCCAGTATAAAATTGCTGTCAGCTGATCACTGAATATAACTAGGTCCCCTGTCATAAGTGATTACATGACAGATATTTTCGCGACTTGGTTTACCTTAAATGTATTGATTTTGACTTTTAAGCATGTGTATGTAATGTGTAATAACATATTAAGTCGCTGTGTAAGGCTAAGCAAGCGGTTAGCCTGTTTGTATAGCTCTCAGTGACTGCCTATTCATAGAGAACACTGACTGCACATTCAGTCAAACTGCTTTTCTTTTTCTCTTTAAACAAATCAATAGTCTGTTGTCTTCCTTACAGTTTTACAGCTGTTGTTTCTTTTCTGTCTCTCTTTGTTTTACTCCCTGTCTCTTAGGCTGAAGAGGGAAATATAGAGTACAAGGTAAGCAAATTAGCTGTGACGCAAAGTCTTTGTTTTGTTCATAGAGCTAAAATGCTTTACATAACACCATAAAACTGATTTATATATGGATCAATTCTTGTGATGTGGATGTTATTGGAAATTTATCAGTATGCAGTATGTGTGAATATATAGGGGCAGTCTTTCCATTGAAATACAACACCACTGTGGATTAACTAGAGCATTTGTAGTATCAGGACAGCCGCTTCTTGTCAATATAGAGCTTTTTTATTGCCTTGGTCCTACAGTAATCATTTGTTTATGTCCAAAATAGTGTTGAGTACTAATTAGTAATTTCTTTTCTTGAATAGCTCAAGCTAGTGAACCCCACACAATACCGCTTTGAGCACCTAGCAACACAAATGAAATGGCGACTGCAGGAGGGCCGAGGTGAAGCTGTCTATCAAATAGGTGTCGAGGACAATGGCATGCTGGTGGGACTATCAGAGGAGGAAATGAGGGCTTCACTAAAAACGCTCCATCGGCTTGCAGAGAAGTAAGTCCAGTATTTTTATTCCGTTTACTGACTGATAGTTATTCTGCTGTTGTAGTTTACCTCATCTACCAAAACACAAAGAACTGTACTTACGTTTGTTTTTCGTGACAGAGTTGGAGCGGACATCACAATTTTAAGAGAGCGAGAGGTGGACTATGACTCTGATGTGCCTCGTAAGATTGCTGAAGTTCTCATTCGCAAAGTGCCAGATGACCAGCAGGTTAGTGTGGCTACCTGCACATGGATATCTCTGGATGTTTAAATTCTTGGGCATTTTTAAGTCATTTTGGTGTTGTGTTTTTCTCCTTAGTTCTTAGACCTACGAGTAGCCGTACTGGGCAATGTGGACTCGGGCAAGTCCACTCTTTTGGGTGTTTTGACACAAGGTGAGCTGGACAATGGACGGGGAAGAGCGAGGCTCAACCTTTTCAGACATCTACATGAGATTCAGACTGGACGTACTTCGAGCATTAGCTTTGAGATTCTTGGCTTTAACAGCAAAGGAGAGGTGAGAAAACGTCCTCTATCAAATAATATATATTACACCT